GTTGTGAACCGGTCCGAATCCCTCTTTGAAGGTGAGAGGGTCGGTATATAAAACCTCGAAATAAATAAATACATAAATAAATAATAGAGACATGTTTCTTGCATGTTGGAAGATAGAATTTGATATTTCTATGATGCTTAAGGTGACATAGTGATGATGTTAACGTATGTAGAAGCATGTTTCTTTGTTTGCCTGCATTTGGAGATGTATAAAAGGCAAAGTCAACGCCTTTATCCTCACCCTGGTTGCTTTTGGACACAACTCTACACCAGAGTCTCAGCTGATAATAAAGCCATACTTTTCTACCTCCAGAAAGGATCACTCTTGGTATTATCTCTCCTATTTGCTGCTACAGTAGAGGGGAGAATAGAATAGCTTGGCATGGTTTTACCTCCCCATCATTCCCTTGAATCTTTGTTTTCTATACTTTCCACAACCTTGTTGCTACTATTACTATTGTCAGGAAGCGGATTGGCACCAGAGTAATGAAAACTCCAATGATCTTTCTATGATCTAATGCTAAATCTCCCTGTAAACCAGTCCGGCCAGAGAAAAGGAAAGAAAAAAAGCACAAAGACATAATAACCAAATGGCAGAGAGTAGTTTATTTTCTTTCATCAACCACATGTTGATATTGTCATGTAATTATCTAAAACAAGCATATTCATTTAGAGACTACTTTTAATGTGTTCAATGTGCATTTATTCTTAAAATCCAGATAGAGAAGTACATGCTTCCCACACTTAAGGATATAGAAGCACAAATGTAATATGTCCAATGGTTTGTCATTCTCTGTGCTCCCACCCCTTCTCCATAGTGCTCAGCTGTTTTGCATGCGCCTCCTTAGATAAAGGCAATGCAATTTCCTGAGTCTTCTCCCAGGCTGCCAGATCAATGTCATGAGGGAAAGAAAAAATATTGCTGTTTGGTTAAGGTCAATATTAAAAGAACGTCAGTGAGCTAATAAAGAAAAAGGAGGATAAAGGCTCTAACCATCAAAGCATCCATGTTCTCATTTTTATCAGCAAACAAAGCTTGCTGTAATTTCCTGTGCTGGTTTTATTGGCTACTGAAGGAAATGAATCATCACTCACAGTGTGGACCACCATTTTTTGGTGTAGATACCGTTCAACAAGTTTGGATATATTTCCTAGCTTATAGTTCTTTGGACTGTTCCCTCCCCCATCCTTCACCAACAACTGATTGATAGGTCAGTGGCTTTCTACAAAAAAAAAAACAACCCTGACGCATTTGGACTGCACAAATGAAGAAACTCTGCTTTTACAAATATCTGCATAATGTTTCAGATAGTTAGACCAGATCACATAATCTGATGAATTTGTTAAGTACGGATCTACCTTTGTTTTCTGAAAACGCTTGTTCGCTAGGGACAAAGAGAGTAGTAGCTCTGTTTATTATGGAAGAGTGCAGCTCAGGCCAAATGGAGAAGTTGTGGAGTGCTTATCAAAGAACATGAAGTCACAACTACGACGACTGGGATTTGAAAAACCTGCTTTACATATGAACAGCAGGTTCTGTGATATATTAGACATTGTTTTTCCAACACCGACACCAAATTGGGTGGGATAGCCAATATTCCAGAGGAGAGGAGCAGAATTAAAAACGATCTTGACAGATTAGAGAGATGGGCCAAAACTAACAAAATGAAGTTCAACAGTGACAAATGCAAGATACTCCACTTTGGCAGGAAAAACGAAATGCAAAGATACAAAATGGGGGATGCCTGGCTCGAGAGCAGTACATGTGAAAAAGATCTTGGAGTCCTCGTGGACAACAAGTTAAACATGAGCCAACAATGTGATGTGGCGGCAAAAAAAACCAATGGGATTTTGGCCTGCATCAATAGGAGCCTAGTGTCTAGATCTAGAGAAGTAATGCTACCCCTCTATTCTGCTTTGGTTAGACCACACCTGGAATATTGTGTCCAATTCTGGGCACCACAATTCAAGAGCGATATTGACAAACTGGAATGTGTCCAGAGGAGGGCGACTAAAATGATCAAGGGTCTGGAGAACAAGCCCTATGAGGAGCGGCTTAAGGAGCTGGGCATGTTTAGCCTGAAGAAGACAAGGCTGAGAGGAGATATGATAGCCATGTATAAATATGTAAGAAGAAGCCACAGGGAGGCGGGAGCAAGCTTGTTTTCTGCTCCCCTGGAGACTAGGACGTGGAACAATGGCTTCAAACTACAAGCAAGGAGATTCCATCTGAACATGAGGAAGAACTTCCTGACTGTGAGAGCTGTTCAGCAGTGGAACTCTCTGCCCTGGAGTGTGGTGGAGGCTCCTTCTTTGGAAGCTTTTAAGCAGAGGCTGGATGGCCATCTGTCAGGGGTGCTTTGAATGCAATATTCCTGCTTCTTGGCAGGGGGTTGGACTGGATGGCCCATGAGGTCTCTCCCAACTCTTTGATTCTATGATTCTATTATTTCCGCTGTGATTCTGGTGTGGAGTTGTGTCCAAAAGCAACCAAAGCGAGGATAAAGGCGTTGACTCAAACTTTCCAAGCACAGGGTCAGTTCGCAGTCCCCCGGACTATTGGGGGCTGGACTGCCATTTGGAAAAAAAATGGAAAGAATTCCTGTGCACACTGCACATATATTATTTGTAGTGCAATACATAAATGTAAGAATAATCCAATATTTAAAACAAAGCATACCTCGGGAACAACTGTGCTCAGTTTCCGCTCTGTAGCTAACCTGTACGGTTCTCTTCTGTGCTTTAAAAATGTTTAAGACTATCAACTCACCCGCTGCATGTGAGGTTTGCTCAGTGATACGGTTTTTGTCAGCAAGGAACATGCCTGCTGCAGAAATTCATTGACAGATTTGTGAAGTGTACGGTGATACTGTTATGAGTCAAAGCAAAGTGCGTAAGTGGGTACGACAATTCAAAGATGGCCATGACAACGTCCATGATTACAGACAATTAGGTTATCGAAGCAGGCGGCAAGTTTTTATAAAGAGGGTATTTTAAAATTGGTTCAGAGGTATGATAAGTGTTTGAACAAACTTGGCAACTATGTTGAAAAATAGAGTGAAGTATGTACTTTCTGAAAATAAATTTACTTTTTTGAAATAAACTTTCGTTGTGTACTTATGTTCCAACGGACCTTACTTTAAAAATACCCCTCGTATTTTTAGGACAGCCTTGATAATTCTTGTCAATGAATACGATGATGTAATAAACAAGTTGGTAAATGCTGAAGACAATCCTGTTTTTAAAATCATACCAAAATATAGGGACTCCACTAAACCTACCAGACAAAAAAAACCAAAAAAACATTCAGGCTGCTTGACACAAATTTTGTTAAAAAATCTTTGGTGAATGAAACTCCACATTTCCTCCTGATTTCTCTGAATTCTCCAATAATTGTCATATTTTATGCTAGATTGTTGTTATGATTGTTAATTTTCTTTATACATAGGTTCCCAGTTGTTTATTTTTCCTTTCAGTTCGCAGATTCATTTAACTTCAATCCCCACAAATGGCTCTTAGTGAACTTCGATTGTTCTGCTATGTGGTAAGTAAATGTAAGAATGGAGGTGTGTTAATGAAGTTATTATACTATGTCTTTCTAAGGACAGTTTTGAATTTTTTTAAAGAAAATGCTTAGAAAACAGAATGAGAATTGAGAACTTGGTTGATACTGGAAACTTCTAGACAGACTCAAAATGCCAGATCTGTCACCTGTCATTTGCTGGACCAAATGATGCCTCAGGTAACCCAAACTAAACTGGAGTAAATTTGGATTTCTCCAAATTTTACTCCAGATTAATCAAACACCTAGAAAGAAAGTTTACTCCAGATTAATCAAACACCTAGAAAGATCCAGATCTTAATGTAAGGTCTGGATCTTTCCAGTTGTTTGCCTTGGGGCAGGCCCGTAGCCAGGATTTTGATGGGGGGGGGGGGGGCTGAGTCTGAGTGAAAGAGGGTCTACCCTAGCAAACCTTTTGTATCATTACCCCAATACCCCCATGCATATGAGATATATTGAGCATGGTGATCAGATCATGATATGAATAAACATAACAGTTTAAATAATGTACCAGTAAGGCCTTTTCACAGACCATCATGAGAATTTGGGGGGGGGCTGAAGCCCCAAAGCCGCCCCCCCCCCCCCGCCACGCCTCCTCCGTCCCCCCCCGTATGCCGCCCCCCCCCCCCACCCCCCCGGCTACATGCCTGCCTTGGGGGGATTGACTCTCAGGACTACACAAATCCTGGATCTTTGGACTCCAAGAGCTTGAAGGAGTGGGAAGGCATCCTCATCCTCCCCTCCCAACCCCCTTTTACCCTCAAAACTTTCCTGAGTGGCCTGGCTATACACTCAAACTCTTCTGGTATGTCAAAACGATGTGCTGGGAGGTTGGGGGGGGGATCCCTCATTTGCCCCCCAACCTCCTGACACATCACATTGATGCACCATGAACTTACGCTGGGAGGGGGGACAGAGCATGTAACCAGGCCTCTCATGCATGTTTTGGGGGTAAATGGGGGCTGGCTGGCTGCCCTCCCGAGTTCACCTCTGTAGCCACCCCCACCCCCCAGTGAAAACTCAGGGTTTGAGTTCTGTGCAGACTGAATCCCGGGAGGAACTGGGATTAAATATCCCAGTTCCTCCTGAGATTTGTTCCTATGTGGAAGGGCCCAAAATGTGTATGGAACTAAACTCTTGTAACAAATTTGGGAGGAAAGCTAGCAAAGTGCTGGTTTGCAATGTAGAGTAGATAAAAACCATTTAAGATGGTTAAAATAATCTAGCAATGAAGAATGGACTTGGCAGATTTGTGTGATTTATGTAAAGATGGTCCCTTCTTTCAAATACTTCAAATGAATCAGTGGTCAAAACTTATTGGCAGTCAAAACCTTCAAACTGACTGCCATTCAGTTTGAATGAAGCTTGCCCACATACTTCCATTTGTTTATTCAGCTAAGCATTGTGGTGTTTCCTCAACTCCATGCTGCTTTTTAGGAATGAATCTTCATTGACTGCTAAATTCAGGGCCAGTCTGGAGCAGATATGTCCTGGAAATGGCCCAAAACATCCTCCTGAACCTGCTATGGTGGTGGGTCAGAGTTTACATGGTCCTACCAAGCTAAGACGGCATTGACCTTGCTAAACCATCACCTCACCCTCCATGTTGCTATTCCAGACAGCCACACAGCTCCATATGATCTCCTTACCTTGGTGAGCATCTCGTGTTGAAATCAGAAGGGCGCTTGCAAAACAAGGAAGAAGGAGAGAGGTGATCTCCCCACATTTTTCTTGGTCATGCAGGTACCTTGTTAATATCCACATGGGATGCCCATGATGGTCATGAGCTCAAAGGCAGGTTTGTGGCCATCTGGAAGTGGTGATAGTGGTGGCACAGGCACAAACTGTCCTCGTTTCCCTTGGAGCAATACCCAATGTGGACAGTGGACCATCCAAATCGGACTCAGTCCTGCTGCCCACATTGTTCGGAAGCTGCACAGTTACTCCAGAGTTTCCTCCAGTATTGCAACTTTTCCTAATAAGTAGTCAAAACTTATTTGCAGTATCATGGAGTAAATCCGGCTAAACCGGATTTACTCCATGATACTTAGTGGAAGTGAAGGAACATCATGGGGACAGTCAAAAGCAAGCTCAGAGAGTCCAGGTTATGATGCCTCTAGTTGCCTATAGATTAACTTCCAGTGGCCTGAAAACCAGTTCTAGACTATTTCCCAGCAGGGTTTTTGTTTGGTGTATGCATTAGGGGCTTTATTTGGTTCTCTTGACACAAGGGGAGCTCTCTGTGGACCATCCCTGTCAATTCTGATCTACTGAGGTAGCCAAATTCTAAGGTAAGCCACTACCAAATCATTCATATTCATTATTTGTGCAGGGTGAAGAAGAGATCGGACTTAACACGTGCCTTTCAAATAGATCCCGTTTACCTTAAGCATGGCTATGAAGAATCTGGTAAAGTGTTTTTAAGCTATATTATCTTCTTGAAAATAATGTTCCAGGATCAACCCTCCTCTGTTCAGACTTTGTCAGCAAGCTTTTGTATATAGAGCAGACTCTTCTTCCTGTCGCTTGTACTTTTTTAAAATAAATAATCTTTATTGGTGAAAGATGGGTGAAAAAGAGAGGTGAGGAGAAGAAGAAGAGGAAAAGAAAGAGAGAGAGAAAAAGGAAAAAAATGCACCAACCCCCCCCCCCCCCTGAAGGTTAGATAGCAAAAAGAGTGGTTAAAAAAAAGAAGGAAAAATATCCGGAGCAGAGTGTTGTATATCTCCTTTGTTGACTTCCTGAGTATCTTCCTGGTGGTTTTTCCTCTTCTTTCTTTTGTCTTATCCTTCTTGTTTTCTCTTCCTTTCATATTATTACATTTCCATTTTTTTGTTTAAAATAGTTTGTTACTTTTGTCCAATCCGTCTCTCTTATTGGGGTCCCTTTGTTTTTTGTTATTAAGTATGTTAACCTGTCCATATTTTTAATATCTATCATTTTTTCTATCCATTCGCTAGTTTTCGGAATATCTTCTTTTTTCCACAACCTCGCATAGCATATCCTTGCTGCAGTGTTCAGTAAGAAGAGGAGTCAGTATTTTTTTCTAATTTTTGATCTGTTATTCCAAGTAAAACTATCTCCGGGTTTGAAAGGAATTCTTATCTATATAAATAAAAATATAATGTTAGTTTGTGCTACCATCAGAACTCAAAAACCACTGGGGGAATTGACACCAAATTTGGACACAAGACACCTAACAGTCCGATTTATGTCCTCCACTCAAAAAATTGATTTTGTCGTTTGGGAATTGTTGTTGCTGGGATTTATAGTTTACCTACAATCAAAGAGCATTCTGAACTCCACCAATGATGGAATTGGGCCAAACTTAGCACACAGGGCTCCCATGACCAACAGAAAAAACTGGAAAGGTTTGGTGGACATTGACCTTGAGTTTGGGAATTATAGTTCACCCACATCCAGAGAGCACTGTGGACTCAAACAATGATGGATCTGGACCAAACTTGGCACGAATATTCCATATGCCCAAATATGAACACAGATGGAGTTTGGAGGAAATAGACCTTGGCATTTGGGATTTGTAGTTACTGGGATTTATAGTTCACTACAATTAAGAGAATTCTGAAACCTACAAATGACAGAAATGGGGCAAACTTCCCACATAGAACCCCCATGACCAACAGAAAATACTTAAGGCCATCCAGTCCAACTCTCTTCACCAGGGCAAGAAAATGTAATCAGAGCCCTCCTGACAAAGAGCCATCCAGCCATAGATATGAATAGATATATATGAATCACACACACATATAGATATAAATAATTTGAAAGGGATCCCTAAAGAAGGACAATTATATGTTGCATGTTCCAGAGTAGGCAAACCAGACACTCTCCGCATCAACACTGACAAAGAAACAACAAGAAATACTGTTTACTCACAAGCAGAAAGGAATTGCATATATTAGAAACCAACACTTTCTCATTACTTTATTTTCCAGATCACCAGACTGGGCCACAGTAACACGTGGCAGGGGACAGCTAGTGTTTAATATTTCCTGTAGGATCTTGTGTATTTTTCTCCAGTATGTCCTAGCCTTTGTACACGACCACCACATGTGGAAGTATGTTCCATCTGTCTTTCCGCAATTCCAGCATTTTAGTATTAATGTTTTTATAACATTTCCCAAGTTTCTGAGACGTCATGTACCATCTATGTGCAACTTTTATCCAATTTTCTTTAAGATCTGTTGCTTGTCTGTATTTAATTTTTGTTTTCCAAATTTCTTGGCAATTTTCTTTTTTAATTGTTTTTCCTATATTTTCTTTCCATCTTCTCATATATTTTTTCCCCTTCTGATTCTACATTCCATTCCAGTACTTTCTTATATATCTTTGCTATTACTTCTCATTCTGAATTTAGTATAGTGTCCCAGAAAGTGTCTTGTTCTTGAAAACCTCTTTCTTTATCTATCTTAAAACATTCTTTTATTTGTCTATACTGATACCATGATTTTTTTTATTTATTATATTCATTTCCTCTTGTGTCTTCATCACAGTCACACCTCCAAACTTTTATATCCCGATCTTCTCAACCTAAGTAGAGGGGCCCACACCGGCTTTAGAGGGACTCAGACCGGCCATCCAGTCCAACCCCCTGCCGAGAAGCAGGAAAATTGCATTCAAAGCATCCCCAACAGATGGCCATCAAGCCTCTGTTTAAAAGCTTTCAAAGAAGGAGCCTCCACCACACTCCGGGGCAGAGAGTTCCACTGCTGAACAGCTCACAATCAGGAAGTTCTTCCTAATGTTCAGATGGAATCTCCTTGCTTGTAGTTTGAAGCCATTGTTCTGCGTCCTAGTCTCCAGGGCAGCAGAAAACAAGCTTGCTCCCTCCTCCCTATGACTTCTTCTCACTTATTTATACATGGCTATCATGTCTCCTCTCAGCCTTCTCTTCTTCAGGCTAAACATGCCCAGCTCTTTAAGCTGCTCCTCATAAGGCTTGTTCTCCAACCCTTGATCATTTTAGTTGCCCTCCTCTGGACACATTCCAGCTTGTCAATATCTCTCTTGAATTGTGGTGCCCAGAATTGGACACAATATTCTAGGTGTGGTCTACCCAAGGCAGAATAGAGGGATAGCATGACTTCCCTGGATCTAGACACTATGCTCCTATTGATGCAGGCCAAAATCCCATTGGGTCCCCGCCCCCGCCCCCGCCACATCACATTGTTGGCTCATGTTTAACTTGTTGTCCATGAGGACCCGAAGATCTTTTTCACACGTACTGCTCTCAAGCCAGGCATCCCCCATTCTGTATCTTTGCAATTTGGACCAAGAAAGCACCTTATAATCTGTAGTACCTCTCCTACCCGATAAAGCTGATTTTTTTTTTAAGCCCTGAGATTCCACTGTAAAAAGGCTTAGTAATGAACTCATTCTAGGATTCATCTACACTGGCCACTTAGGTTGAGTGTCATCAGTTCAGACCCACAGTGACTAAATGCTGCATAGGGCTGCACAACCTTAACCCAGGCTTATCCAACATCAAGTCAGGAAAAACCTAAATCCTGACCCAGGATTCAGGCTTTCTCCCGACTTAGGGCCATTATGGGATAGATGCTACTTCATATCGTATTGTGAATTCCACAGACACAGCCTTAATTAAGTTCATCTGGGCAATGTAGACTTTTAATCATGGTGACAAGGACTAATAGCTTGTTGCATTATGCCTTACAGCTTGGTTCCCAGAGGTTACTCATGGATCATTAGACACATTGCCCATTATGGGAACATGTAATTAGCTACCCATCACCAATTGTCTTACCCTTTTGATCCAGTCCTCCAATCTTAATCAACACTGCCTACAAGATTGAAAAATATGTTTTCCAGCTGCTTATCGGAGTTCTGATGCCATTCCTATTGAAACCTGCTCATTTCACCCAGATGAGATATTTATCGTAATAATTCTATGCAAGTTCATTCATGCTTATTCATTGAAGATTCAAAACAATGTATTTGTACAAATGCAAGTATCTACACATTGATACATTGATGACCAACCTAGGCATTACTTAAGGAAATTTGTGCTTCCAGGGCCAAATTGTTCAAGATAATGGAAATAAAGTGGCTCTTTAGTGAAAAGAAAGAATAGCTTAAGTCCATGAAGCTAGCATGTTATTCCATGCAGATAGCTCCCTGGCTGTTTTCTTCACCCTGGCATATCCTCCATCCCAGTCATTAATTCTGACATTAAGAAAATGCCTAGCATTACAAGAGGAATATGAGAGTTGAGAACTTCAACATTTCCTAGCTCCTCCAAGAATTTTGTAATAGATAACATCACATTTCAGAAAGTTCTTTGGGACAAAGGTATTTAGCAATATTTTCTACAACTTTCTATGTGTTTCATGGGTATTTTAACCTGGTTGACTTTGGGTGCAACTACACTAATAATTAATGCAATTTGACACCACTTTAATTGCCATAGCTCAATTCTATGGAATCATGGGGGTTGTAGTTTTGCAAAGCCTTTAGCCCAGTGCTTCTCAACCTGTGGGTCCCCAGGTGTTTTGGCCTACAACTCCCAGAAATCCCAGCCAGTTTACCAGTTGTTTGGATTTCTGGGAGTTGAAGGCCAAAACATTTGGGGACCCACAGGTTGAGAACCACTGCTTTAGCTGGTGCCTCACCAAAGTACAAATCCCAGCATCCCATAGTGTTCTGGTATGGCTCAGGAGCTCCAGCTTCTTTTTCTTTCTTTGAGTGTTTGCATGTATTTCAAAGTTCCATGCATTTTGCAATAAGGTGGCTTCCCTTGGTTTGCAATTATAGGGCCAATGACCCATCAATCATCATTAGGTTCTTTAGTTCCGCCCCTTTTTCTGGGTTTGGGAGGGGAAAAAGGGACCTCTAGTTCAGTTCTCACAGAGAATCCTTTCGTACAGGGCGTGAGTCAGTTCCACCTGTAGAAAGCTTAGTCTTTTACAGGTTTTGCTGGGGGAATTCAGTCCCACAGCTCTACAGAGAAGCACAGCTTTTGCTGGGGGAACCCAATCCCACAGCTTTACAGCCATCCTTTGCTGGGAATTGAAAACCTTCTTTCCTCTTGGAAATCTACAAAAGGACTCTGTTTGGTAAGGACCTCTTGCGGCAGCCATAATGCAATTTGGACCGGGTGTAGGGGCCCACGCCAGCAGAGCCTAAGACAGATTGCCCAGGGTTTTTTTTTGTCGTGTCAGGAGTGACTCCTGTTGTGAGAGAATTGGCTGTCTGCAAGGACGTTGCCCAGGGGACACCTGGATGATTTTGATGTTTTTATCATCATTGTGGGAGGCTTCTCTCATGTCCCTGCATGAGGAGCTGGAGCTGATAGAGGGAGCTCATCCGCCTCTCCCCGGATTTGAACCTGTGATCTGTCGGTCTTCAGTCCTGCCGGCACAGGGGTTTAACCCACTGCACCACCGGGGGCTCCATTGCCCAGGTAGAGGTCAAGGATTTCCCTGATAAAGAAACAGTTCATGAAGATAGTTGCCTGTCCCTTGTGGACAAGATTAAGAAAGCCACCAGTTGATTCAAAGCCTTGAAGTATTTGTTTGATTTATTGAAGACCTAAGCACTAATAAAGAACTTCATTAAACTTTCCAAGTTTCTAAAGACTTTGTTTAGGGAAATCCAAAGTGCCTCTAATCCGAGGCACCCTTGGCGTCCCGTTGGGCATACAGAAAACATGTCCTGTCTACAGACCTTTTCACAGGCCCAGCACGTGACAGCACACATAGCATTAGGTCACTTCAATTACAGTGGTGTCAAACTGTTTTAATTGGACTACCTGGAGTAATTTCAATATGATGCTGAAGTTAATTTCTGTTTCTCTTTTGAATTTACAGGACATATAACAGATTATAGGGTAAGTACACCCCCCCCCCAACACCCATTTTATGTATACTGCACTATCTGTATTTTTTAAATTTTTCATCAGAACAACTCAAATTTCTTTTTAATAATGGTCAAGGATAATAGGCAGAGTATTTAGTATAGACACCTCTTCCAGACCTTGCCACAAAGCTAAATGCCAAGTCTACCCACAAGTTTACCCAGAAAACATAATCACAGAACTTAA